AATTAGTTTGCTTTGGAGCCCTCCTTCCTGAGCTAAAACAAAAATCTGTGAGCCGGAAGCTAAAAAACTGTGAGCTAGCTCACACTCAGCTTAGAGGGAAGACTGGTCCAGAGTGGGATCAGCATTTGTGATGTTGCTTCCCCTTCCTTGCCCTGCCACACTTATTGTTCCTTCGTTCCTTCCTTCCTTCCTTCCTTCCTTCCTTCCTTCCTTCCCTCCTTCCTTCCTTCCTTCCTTCCTTCCATCCATCTATCCATCCATCCATGAGAAATTCGTTTCCCTCCCCCCCCTCTCTCTCTCTGTGTCTCTCTTTCTCTCTTTCTCTCTTTCTTTCTTTCTTTCTTCCTTCCTTCCTTCCTTCCTTCCTTCCTTCCTTCCTTCCTTCCTTCCTTCGCATGCTCTCTTGCAGTGCTAACAACATTTGCCACACAGTGTATTTTAAAAAACAAACAAAAGAAAACCCTATTTTTTAATCATTGATTTTAATATAAGATACAGAACATACAGCAAAGATACAGCGTAATTCAGTGCCTCCAACTACAAAAACCTTTGGTAAATGGAGAGATTCAAACCTACAGGGTTAAGCTACTTAAGGGGGGGGGAGAATGTCAAGATCTTGTAAGTAGGAGACAACAGGGTACCATGTTGACACAAATTTGGAGGTATATGGTGTATCTGAGTGTGAAATCTTGAGTGAATCAGATTTTTTTGCCATAACAAGATGGTCCCACAGCTTGTCCTGCCAGGTTGCTATTGAACGTGCTGTTGGGGATTTCCAGCTAATAGCAATGGATAAGCGAGCTACAGAAAACCTAACTCTGACCAGGCTGAGAATAACGCTGGGAACAAAGTAAATTTTAATTTGGATAGTGATAGGGGTAGATTTTATTAAAAAAATTATAAATTATGGCATACTTCAGAAAACTTGTTTTGATATTCTAAACAAATGAAGGGGCTGGTGACATACACCCGTAGGTTAATTGCTTGGTCAAGAAATCCAGAGGATTAATCTCCAGAATTTTTAATCTGCTGATATTTTTATGTCGCAATAGTGTGACTTCAGTGCTGTTATGAACCGCCTTTTGTTAAAGAAAGGCAGTTTAGAAATGTTTTTAAATAGCACAGGGATTCCAGGCACACTTACTTGGGAGGAAGCCGAACTGAAGTCAATCAGTGACACTATCCATATCTGTCAAGACAATACATCGACATCTTTAAACAGTCCCTTAGTTTGCTGTGTTTTAAAAAGCGAATAAAACAAGCCCGTGACGTTACTTGCTATTTTCCTATGAATCTATTATTTCAACACGATGTTACCACATTAGTTAGACGAATGGGGGGGGGGGAACTCGCAGGATCCGTTCAAGCAAGTGCCAGCTCTCTGTTTTCAAGGAGGACCCCTGGGAGGGGAGGGGAGGCAAGGCGCGAGGTGGTCTTGTAGTCCCCGCACCCCCGGTCTGGCGGCGGAAGGTGGCCTCCCGGTGGCCTCGAAGGCCCCCTTCCTCCTTGTGGCGCAGAACTTTCTAAGGCGCCTCTCCTGAGACCATTCCGTGGGATGGGGATGTCTGTGTGAAGTGCCGTCAAGGCGCCGCCGAAGTATGTAGGCTTTTCAGTACAACCCTATAGGGTTTTGGAGGCAAGAGGCGTTCGGAGGTGGTTTGCCATTGCCTGCCTCTGCATAGGGACCTTGGGGTTGTGTGTGTGTGTGTGTGTGGTCTTCGACTCCCATCCAAATACTAACCAGGACCACCGACCCTCCTTGCTTCCGAGATCTGACGAGATCAGGCTGCCCTGGCCCATCCAGGCCGGGCCTCAGTGTCCTGGTCTGACTGAAAGCCCCGGCTGCCTCCCGATGCGCTTTTAAACCACAGTGAGCCGCATTCAACTCATCCCGACTTTCTCCCAAGTAAACTTACACCTGGCAGGGTTCTAAGGCTATAATCCTTCGCACCTGTATTAAGGAGTAACTCACAGATTGGGGGGGGGGCAACGAAAGGAAACTTGTTTTGAGTTCTGTACTGCAGGAAAACAAACGCAGACTCGTGAGGGGGGAAAACTGCCCGCTTGCTCAAGTTATTCGCCCACCTGCTTTCCACGAGCAGGAGGAGGGACTCAGGGAAGAGATCGAAAGGCAGCGTCAGCAGCGGTTAGGGTCTAGAGGCCTAGTCCAACTGAAGCAAGAAAGCAAGATCCAGGGTTCGACCTTCTTCCCCAAACTAGGAGGGTGGGGTGCCCGCGAGGGCTTCTGCCGCCGATTAGACCGTCGGGATAAGGGAGAACAAACAACAAAACAACAGTGGGTGTCCTGGGGAGCCGGAGAGGTTTCCTACTGACGCTAGTTTTAGACAGCGAAACATGACACAGTGTTCAGACACCTCACCTTACCCGGAATGAATTACCGTCCGGCTCCAGTGGTTTAGAACATAAGGATCATTTCCTAGTCTGCACAGGACTCCCTCCCGGCCAGTCTCCCGCCCCGCCTGGTGAAAGGAGTGAACCCGAAAAGCCTGCGGCCGCTCGAAGGCCACCCGGGGACCGTCCTTGGGGGGGGGGGGGGAGAGAGGTTATGCTATTAAATGGCGGCACGAAATTTCGGCAGCAGTTTCAATAAGGTTCAGGTATTTGTCCCAAATGTTCTTTCACAAACTTCCCGAGAGAAGTCTGCATAGCGTGAGATCCTATTTTCTGAGAAAGCGCATGTTGCCACCGATGGTGGACGTCGGTTGGAGCTGATGCCTTTAGGTTTGGGATGTCCTCAAAGTTGCCCGGGGGTAGAGAATGTCATTGCTAGACTACCTAGCTCATGAACCGGTGCAACTTCGCAGCGGTGTGAAGACGGGGAACCTGCATCTGTTGAATATCTAGATGTTGTGAAGCTGTTAAAGGCACAGCCTCTGTCAGGAACATGCCAAGAAACCCCAGTCTCATACAGCAGAAGGGCTTTAAATCCCTAAACACATTTACTGGGAAAGTAAATCCTGCTGACTTCGGGGGCCTTAATTCCAGGAACGTCTGCACAGCGTTGCAATCTAACTTTTAATGGGAAATAAATCCTACTGATTCGACATTAAGATTTATGTTATCTAACTTTTTCTGGATTCTACTTCCTGCTTTAAGAAGGAGACACCGAAAGCATTGGCAGCGGTCCTCCGTAGGAGAATAAAAGACCCTTGTAGGTAAATGAGTCGGACGGAAAAGAATCGAGTTCGCATATTTCGCCTAAACGGTCTGATTTGGACTCTTCAGGGTAACGTTGTTTAGTCTGTAATCTTAAAACAACAACAAACAAAAACAGTTTCCTGGGAGTAAGCCGCGCTGAATAGCATGGGTCTTATAACCAAGTAGATCTTTCTCGGACTGTTCCCTCAACTGTCCTGAAAATCGGCGGGATTTTTTTGGGGGTGGCTGCACAAACCCATTTTGAAATGTCCCTGTTGCTTCAGTGTGGTCCACTCCGGGGCAAATGCCACCGAAAAGCATGCTGTTTGGCAGGGGTTCAAAGAAGCTGCTCCAAATTAGGGCGTAAATCTTTCTGAAATATGTGGACGGAGGAGGACATGCCAGACACCCAGGCACTGCCGCTGGATCCGGAGAGCGGCCCTGTCCACACCCCTCCGCTCATAGCCATAACGACGGATCTCGATGGGAAACCACGTCTAAGGGCCTCCGAGACGCCCGCGGTTAAGTTTAACCCTGCCGTTGAAAGGAGCGGGACAGCAACATGCTGCACTTTCCTTGGATTGTGCCCACCACAGTATTTGAACGGTGCCGTGTAGGCTCCAAATCCGAGAGGATTTATTTTTAGCGGACTGGGTTTCGGATGGGAGGGCCGCGGGGAAACATTCCTCGGATTCCACAGCTTGAATGGCCCGACAATGCGAGCTCCTATTGGATTACTCGAAAGTAGGTTTCATCGTGTTCCGTGTATCTTGCCGGTGAGCATGTGTGCCTCTGATTGCGGTTTACTTGGGCATTAGGTCAAGTGGAATCAATGGGAGTTGTTCGACAAATACTAATAGCTGCAGCCAAGAGCAAGGGTGTTCAAACCAGAGATTTCCACGTCCCCCTCCCCGCAAGAGCAGCAAAAGGCAAGGCAGTCCTGCCTAGTGAGCAGAGGCGGTCACGTCCATCGCTTGCGCGGAATCCTGAAAGGAAACACCCACTTCCAGACCTGGTTGTAGGTACTCATAGAAACAACCAGGAATAAAACTGGGTTGCGGATCGAAGTGTTGCTGAGAACAAACTGGATAGGGTGAGATTTTTTAAAAAAATTAAAAGTTCACCCGACTTTTCTGGACAAATGCTGAGATCCACCATTCAGTTCCACAGAAGTTCTTGTACTGAAGGGGTCCGAGGCTGACCCACGGGAGGGGGGAAGCATTCACCATAAAAGGAGATAACAGCATCAGCACACACCAAAAAAAGGACATCCGGAGACTGGTCTAGGGAAGTATGATTCCAAAATGCACCTGCACCTCAGTCCCATCTGTCTTTACTCGAATTAGGTCCCACTGGATTCAGTACCGCTTGATCCCAAATAAATATGCGTAGGGCCGCCTCTTTAGTGGA